TGTATGTAAAGATTATAACACTATTCTTTTTAGTTAAAATCTAATTAAATTTTCATATTTTAAAAATCATTTTTACATAAAAGTCTTTTATTTAGGATGTAATGATTAAGAAAATTCTCCAGGGCATTACGTTAATTGTCCTGTGCAAATCCCAGCTCTTTCACACATAATTGTAAAAGTAAAGCATGAATAACTAATCTTGGGGTCATATTCCAAAGTGGCTCCCATTAAACTGTTTCAGAGTGGCAGATTCAGGCTCCCATATGTTACAGCAACAGTCTATTCTATAGGAAAGAAAGAAACAGCTTGATGAAAATGGCTTCCTTTTATTTTTAGTTTTGTTTATTTATTTATTTTTGCAATGGAATCTTGCTGTGTCACCCAGGCTGGAGTGCAGTGATACGTTCTTGGCTCACTGCAACCTCTGCCTCATGAGTTCAAGCGATTCTCCTGCCTCAGCAGCCTGAGTAGCTGGGACTACAGGTGAGTGCCACTATGCCTGGTTAATTTTTGTATTTTTAGTAGAGATGGGGTTTTGCCATTTTGGTCAGGCTGGTCTCGCAGCGTATTTTTAGTAGAGATGGGGTTTTGCCATTTTGGTCAGGCTGGTCTCGCAGCCGTCTTGGCCTCACAAAGCACTGGGATTACAGGCATGAGACACAATGCCCCACCAAAAACTGTTTCCTTTCAAGCATATTTAGACAAATATCCTGTATTCTCTTTGCCATTTAGATTGGAACCATGGATTTGGAACAGAACCAGTCAACAGATTATTATTATGAGGAAAATGAAATGAATGGCACTCACGACTACAGTCAATATGAATTGATCTGTATCAAAGAAGACGTCAGAAAATTTGCAAAAGTTTTCCTCCCTGTATTCCACACAATAGCTTTTGTCATTGGACTTGCAGGCAATTCCATGGTAGTGGCAATTTATGCCTATTACAAGAAACAGAGAACCAAAACAGATGTGTACATCCTGAATTTGGCTGTGGCAGATTTGCTCCTTCTGTTCACTCTGCCTTTTTGGGCTGTTAATGCAGTTCATGGGTGGGTTTTAGGGAAAATAATGTGCAAAATAACTTCAGCATTGTACACAGTAAACTTTGTCTCTGGAATGCAGTTTCTGGCTTGTATCAGCGTAGACAGATATGTGGCAGTAACTAAAAGTCCCAGACAATCAGGAGTGGGAAAAGCATGCTGGGTGATCTGTTTCTGTGTCTGGATGGCTGCCATCTTGCTGAGTATACCCCAGCTGGTTTTTTATACAGTAAATGACAATGCTAGGTGTATTCCCACTTTTCCCCACTACCTAGGAACATCAATGAAAGCATCAATTCAAATGCTAGAAATCTGCATCGGATTTGTAGTACCCTTTCTTATCATGGGGGTGTGCTACTTTATCACGGCAAGAACACTCATGAAGATGCCAAACATTAAAATATCTCAGCCCCTCAAAGTTCTGCTCACAGTGGTTATAGTTTTCATTGTCACTCAGTTGCCTTATAACATTGTCAAGTTCTGCCGAGCCATAGACATCATCTACTCCCTGATCACCAACTGCAACATGAGCAAACGCCTGGACATTGCCATCCAAATTACAGAAAGCATCGCACTCTTTCACAGCTGCCTCAACCCAATCCTTTATGTTTTTATGGGAGCATCTTTCAAAAACTATATTATGAAAGTGGCCAAGAAGTATGGGTCCTGGAGAAGACAGAGACAAAGTGTGGAGGAGTTTCCTTTTGATACTGAGTGTCCTACAGAGCCAACCAGTACTTTTAGCATTTGAAGGTAAAACTGCTCTGCCTTTTGCTTGGATACATAGGAATGATGCTTCCCCCTCAAATAAAACATCTGCATTATCCTGAAACTCAAATTTCAAATGTCATGGTTGCAACTTATAATAAAGAATGGGTTGGGGGAAGGGGGAGAATAAAAGCCGAGAAGAGGAAATAAGATAATAAATGTACAAAACATGAAAATTAAAATAAACAATATAGGAAAATAGTAGTAATGGGCATAAGTGAATAAAAACAATCTGCTGTAAAGAAGAAGAGTTTCATGGTGATAGAATAGTTTTGTATGTTGGTTGCAGTGGTGGTTATACAAATACACAGTGATAAAATGGCATAGAACTGTACACATACATTGTACCAATTTTAATTTCCTGATTTTGACCAGGAAATGGGGGGAAACTGGATGAAGGGTAACCAGGAATACTCTGTACCATCTTTGTAACTTCCTGTGAATTTATAATAATTTCAAAATAAAAGAAGTTAAACAAACAAACCTACTATGCTGTAAATTAGGCCATCTAAAACAGATTATTAAAGAGGTTCATGTTAAAAGGCATTTATAATTATTTTTAATTATCTAAGTTTGAATATAAGAACTATTTCCCTGCATAATTGTAGTACTTGAATAACTATGCAGCAGAACTCAACCTATCTTTTCTTTTCCTGTTTTGTTGGTTTGTAAGTAATTTTATAAAATCCACCTCCTCCAAAACAACAGCAAAAAACTATAATAAGCTTTTCTGATCCTTTTCAAAACATTCCTGATAAGTTCCTAAAGACAGAATTTGCTTCCATGATATAAACTTTCTTAGTAATAACTGGTTATCCTGACAAATGTTAGGTTTATCATGTATAGTCTAGGTGTAATCCTCAGGTTATCATTTGTATCATGGTTGCCACCATGCCCGGCTAATTTTTGTATTTTTAGTAGAGACAGGGCTTCACCATGTTGGCCAGGCTAGTCTCAAACTCCTGGCCTCAGGTGATCCACCAGCCTCAACCTCTCAAATTGCTGGGATTACAGGTGTGAGCCACCATGCCTGGCCTACACATGCAGAATTTAAAGAACTATGATCATGAAAGTGATCACTATTTATCATAGCATTATTCTACCATAGCATCTGGCACAAACGATCAGTGTGTTAGGTGAAAAAATTAGGCTGAACACTCACCACTGCTCCACCATTTCTTGCCATTAATTACATAGTTATCTCCATCTCGTTGGATGCTGCATTCAATATTTGTGGCATCACTTGAAGCTACATCAGGTTCTATAAATAAACAAAGGCTGAAATTACAGACAGGCAGATATCATCAGCAGATTTAGGTAAGGATATGAAAACTTTAAAAACAAAGGCATCTTTATCTTTTTCAATTTCTTATCATTCCACATTCCATCCTGTTTTTTCCATAGCCTACACACAGTAGGTATTCAACAAATGTGCACTGGAAGAATGAGTGAATGAATGAAGTATCTTGAACATTGGGATCAGTATTTTGAACTGTTATTTTTGGCTCCTCATTGATATATGACTTGGTATACAACTCAGTCCTTTCTCCAATCAGCAAAAGTAGATAAAAGAATTGTTTTCTATTTCTCACAATGGAGATATGTACTAAATATTGATTGGCAAGACAGACTTCCCCCCACCCATATAGTTTACTTATGCAATTTCTAACGTGCCTTGCAAATTCCATAAGGAATGCTTTCACTGATTTATGTACTTTGCATTCTTTAAAGCCTGTTCAACATTTAAGGTCTTCAAAGTTTTCCATGGGACACCCTTAGACAACTGCTTTACTGCATGGCACTTCAGAACTGTCTAGCTCTCAATCACAGCAATCTGCACTTGTTAGTATGACACTCATTTAAATGAGTCCTTCAGATATCCTATGTGTTCTGTTTCTAAAACTTGAGACTCAGACTTTTTTTAAAAAGAGGGCTGTGTATTCCACTTATTTTGTAACCTCTACCTAGTGCTTTGTAGACAATACATCATAGTGTAGATATTCAATAAATGCCTATTACTGATTTAAATGGAGATCAGTTCTGCTACTATAGCAGTCCCCTGTTGCCTGTAGTTTTGCCATCTGAGGTTTCAGTTATGAGAGGTCAACTACATTCCAAAAATATTAAATGAAAAATTTCAGAAGTAAACAATTCAAAATTTTTAAATTGTGTACCCTTCTGAGTATTGTTATAATTGTTCTATTATTAGTTATTATAGTCTAAATAGAGTTCAGGACTATCCCCAGTTTTCAGACACCAGCTAGGGGTCTTGGGATATAACCCCTTCAGATAAAAGAGGACTACTGTATAAATATATACAATATTACAGGAAACACAAAATGTGGCCATTATTGATAGCACTTAAAAATTATGGCCAAGCAAATAATTCTAAACTAAATCACAAAACAATGATTTTTTTTCTATATTGAAGAGTTCTTAATGTTTCCTAGGTACAAATGATGTCAAATCTGTTTTTATTAACATGTTCATTTTCCCACATGATTATAATTTGAGCCATATGTCCAGTACTGGTGAAAGTTCTATTTTTCTGTTTATATTTTTTAAGTTGAGTATTTTATAAGTATCAATATAAAATTAACACAAAGATAGATATTTCATACATAAGGGCAAAAAAGATATTAAATATTCACAGATAGCAATTTTAGAAATGACGTCAAAAGATTGTGAAACTAACTTTACTCTGCTGCAAATGTGATGGCAGGCTACTAGAGAACATCATCTGATATTCTGCCAAAGGAGAGGATAATTTTTTTCTGCACATTTGAAAATGCCAACATTTAGTAACAGGCTCAAAATAAATATATTCACATTTTTGGCCAATGGCAAATTTGACTGAAACACAGAATCACATCCTGTTTCTTCAGCTTATCCATAGTAATTCCATATGACTGACTACACAAGGGGAGAATGGTGATTTGCATTTACCTGTCATACAGAAGCAAGAGGTAATGTCCCCTTTAAGAAGAGGCTCAAGCCACTGTTTCTTCTGTTCCTTACTTCCATATAGGTGCAGAACCTCCATGTTCCCTGTGTCTATACATAAGAAAGAGTATTTGATTTGCATTTGAAATTTTATCAATATGAAATACATAACTTTATGTAGAGAGTACAGACATGCATCTTTTTGAAGCAAATGTTTGCTAACAAAAATATTTTGAAACATAGAGTAAATATAATTTACACTGATGGCATGTCATAAATATTCACAAGCACATGGTATTTGGTGCATATTTATTCAACTTGTTCTGAATCACAGACTCTTCTTCCATTCATCCCAATGAAAAATGGTTCTAATGAAGATTAACTCAATTAGAACTGAAGGAAACACTTTACTGGCCTAAACCTTGCCTGCCATATTGCAAATATGCTCTGTTAGGAGTGATTGCAATGCTCCTGGACGACAATCAACATTGCATGTCCTACTGAGACTCCAGCCCTTAATTCTATCTGCTGTTCCCCAAACACAGCCTGTGCTTTCTAATTTCTACATATTTGCTTGGGCCAGACCTTTTCTCAAGTGAAGTTCTCCCTGTCCTTCACAAGTAAATTCCTGCTTATGAGCCACCTCCTCTGCAAAGAATCTCTGATTACCCAGTCAGTAATACCTCCTTCTTCTGAACTCACATAACATTATTTCCTTTTACCCCTAACATTGTTCTTACTTTTATACATCCCATGCTACCTAGAAAATACAAGATAATTTCTCAAGGATGCTAAAGACAGAATCCCTACCCTGGAAAGAAAATGTCAGTGGATAACCTCAAAGACCCTCTCTAACCTTTGGAGGGTATTGTTTATAGTACATGATACACTGTAGTGTTACCCTTGGTTAACAAAGAATTCTTCATGTCTGCCATGGAGCAAAATTTTCTAGGTGGCTTCCTCTGATTTTCCATTCCTGTCAAATTTCTAAAAATACTGTCTAAAACCTTTCCCTCGAGTGTTGATTACTCAGAAGATAGTTACTGAAATGCTTATGAAAATTGAGTTGTGTAAGTTAAATCTCTCAAGATGTCTGTACTCTGTTCAGGCACTCCTAACACAGCCAACATTATGTCAAGATTCACAAAATTCCTTGCAGATTAACACAGCTTAACATTCTTTTTGAGTGAGGAGAAAATAAGCCCTGACGTGAAATTCATGAAGTACATTGCTTGCTTTCTTTGTCTGTTTTAAATTCACTGTTACTTGTTATAGTTCAAATAAGGTAAATATTAAATTTGAAATTTTCAAAAATTATCAGTTTCTTCCAAAAAGCTCACAAAATTATCATTTATGGGTTGGAAAAAAAAAGATAAACTACACCAACAAGAAAAATTATTCCCCGTTAAAAAATATCAGCCCAGCTCTCTAGATTCATCTTCTCTGGGCAGGGCATCTCTGAAAGAAAGGCAGCAGCCCAGTCAGGGACTTATAGATAAAAATCTCATCTCCCTAGGACAGAGCACCTGGGGGAATGAGTGGCTGTGGGTGCAGCTTCAGCAGACTTAAATGTTCCTACCTGCCAGCTCTGAAGAGGGCAGTGGATCTCCTAGCACAGCGCTTGAGCTCTGCTAAGGAACAGAGCTGCCTCAAGTGGGTCTGCCTACTCAAGTGGGTCCCTGACCCCCATGCCCACTGACAGGGAGATACCTCCCAGCAGGGGTCAACAGACAACTCATATAGGAGAGCTCTGGCTGACATCTGGCAGGTGCCCCTCTGAGACGAAGCTTCCAGAGGAAGGAACAGGTAGCAATCTCTGCTTCTCTAAAGCCTCTGCTGGTGATACCCAGGCAAACAGGGTCTGGAGTGGATCTCTAGCAAACTACAGCAGACCTGCAGCAGAGAAGCCTGTTAGAAGGAAAACTAACAAACAGAAAGGAATAGCATCAACATCAACAAAAAGGACATCCACACAAAAACCCCATCTGAAGGTCACCAACATGAAAGACCAAAAGTAGCTGAATCCATGAAGATGAGAAAAAAACAGTGCAAAAAGGCTGAAAACTCCCAAACACCAGAAGGCGTCTTCTCTAAAGGAGCTCAACTCCTTGCCAGCAAGGGAAAAAACTGGACAGAGAATGAGTTTGATGAACTGACAGAAGTAGGCTTCAAAAGGTGGGTAATAACAAACTCCTCTGATCTAAAGGAGCATGTTCTAACCTAATGCAAGGAAGCTAAGAACCTTGACAAAAGGTTACAGGAATTGATAACTAGAATAACCAGTTTAGAGAAGAACATAAATGACCTGATGGAGCTGAAAAACACAGCACGAGAACTTCGTGAAGCATATACAAGTTATCAATAGCTGATTGCATCAAGCAGAAGAAAGGATATAGAGGCTGAAGATCAGCTTTATGAAACAAAGTGTGAAGACAAGATTAGAGAAAAAAAAAATGAAAAGGAACAAACAAAGCCTCCAAGAAATAAGGGACTATGTGAAAAGAGCAAACCTACGTTCGATTGGTGTACCTGAAAGTGAT